CTGTAACGACACGTCACAAACATGAGAGAGAGAGAGAGAGAGAGAGAGAGAGAGAGAGAGAGAGTCTAGCTAAACTTTGAGGACAAACTTTGGTGGATCAGAGTAGTGTCGGGTGAGAGGCTGTGTGTGTGTGTGTGTGTGTGTGTGTGTGTGTGTGTGTGTGTGTGTGTGTGTGTCCTGTACCCTCACCATTAATAGAACACCCAGCACTACACTACACCACCCTCTCATACTGCTATATATATTCTGTCCACCTTAATCCCTTGTATATATTCATAGTTAATTCTCCATTGATATTCTGAAGGGATATTTATTTACCGTGACCATTTTGAAGCTCTTGGGAGGGGTTGATTTACGTGAGGTGTGAAGGTGATACTAATAAGTGTGTGTGTGTCTGTGTGTGTGTGTGTGTGTGCGTGTGTAAAAGCTTAAGTGTAGGTATTAGGAGTTATTCTGTGTTTTTTTTTTATGTGGATACGACTTTTTTTTCCCAGTCATCATATCTATGAAATGGTGGCTGTGGTCGTTGCCAATTCGAAAGAGTAAAAGTTTGGGTGAAATGACGCCCTGGATGGAGTCGAATTGGAATCAACATTTTATATATATATATATATATATATATATATATATATATATATATATATATATATATATATATATATATATATATATGTATATATATATATATAACTAGACACACACACACACACACACACACACACACACACACACACATCCATCCACCATCTTCAAGAAATGTAATTAATTCCACTTTCCCAACAGCTGTTCTCTGAGACGACCTTCATAAGTTTACGTCCATGGAGGGAGGGGGAAGAGGGGGAGAGTAGGAGGCGGAGGTGGGAGGAGGAAGAGGGGGAGAGTATGGAGGGAGGAGGGTGTGGGAGAGGGAAGAAGGTAAGTTAGGAGAGAGGGAGGGTAGGAAAGGAGGAGGAAGATGGGGAAGGGGAAGAGGATATGGAGGGTTAGGTTTGGTTAGGTTAGGGGAGTTGGGGTAAGAGAGGGTAGGGGAGGAAGAAGAGGGGGAGGAGGAGGAAGAGGATGTGGGGTTGGGGAGAGGAAGAGAGGACTCTCGTCACTTAACGGTACCTGGAATTAATCATTGTTGTCAGGTCAACTTTCAACCAGAGAGAGAGAGAGAGAGAGAGAGAGAGAGAGAGAGAGAGAGAGAGAGAGAGAGAGAGAGATTAACTTAACAAACATGTCACTGTAAATTATAAAAAGAACAATTAAAACAAAAGTAAAAAAATACCATCAGAGTCAAGATTATTGTCGATAGTGATGTTTTAAATGTGTGTTTTATTTATTCGGTGATGTTATCTGAGAGCCGAGTGAGTTTTAGCATCTGGCCACACGAGGGATTGAAGTAAGCGAGATGAAAGCAGTTATTTTTAGTGAAGGAAGCAAAGGGGTGAGGCAAGTAGGTAAGGTAGGTTGGTGGGTAGGTAGATAGATAGGTAGATAGATAGGTAGGTAGGTAGGTAGGTAGGTAGGTAGGCAGCCATTCATCCATATCTACCTGCCTTGATTTACAAAGTGATATGGTTAGTAGGACTGAAGGGTCGCTAGTAGTGGTATATATATATATATATATATATATATATATATATATATATATATATATATATATATATATATATATATATATATATATATATATATATATATATATATATATATATATATATATCCACCTGACAAAAATAACAACCTTTCTCTCCCTCTCTGTCCCCCTTTCGAAATTGATGTAGTGAAGACAATGAAGAAAAATGGTGAGGTTTGTGACGTATGACGACCGTCAGCGGGGAAGTTTGGCGCAGGGGGAAGGGGGAGGGGGGGTGGTAGGAGGGAGGGGGGAGGGGTAAGGAACTGGGATGGGCTGATTGGTGGAGAGGGAGAGAGAAAGGGGCTGGTGGGGAAGAGAGAGGGGAAAGATGTAGAAGGAAGGAAGGGGAGGGCTTGTGTAGGGGGTAGGACTGGTTTGCGGGGAGGGGGAAGTGAAAATACCCTTCTTCTATTGGGTGCTAATCCTCCCTCCTCCCGTCTTCTATCCGGGGTGAAGATGTAGAGGAAGAAGAGGAGGCGGAGGAAGAGAAGAAGAAAGAGGATGAGGAAGAGAAGAAGACAGAGGACGAGGAGGAAGACAAGAAGAAAGAGGATGAGGAAGGGAAGAAGAAAGAGGATGAGGAAGAGAAGAAGAAAGGGGAGGAGGAGAAGAAGAAGAAAGAAGATGAGGAAAAGAAGAAGAAAGAGGATGAGGAAGAGAAGAAGAAAGAAGATGAGGAGGAAGAGAAGAAGAAAGGGGAGGAGGAGAAGAAGAAGAAAGAAGATGAGGAAAAGAAGAAGAAAGAGGATGAGGAAGAGAAGAAGGGGATGAGGAAGAGAAGAAGAAAGGGGAGGAGGAGAAAGAAGAAAGAAGAGGAGAAGGAGGAGGAGGAGGAGGTCATAAGCCTTAATTTTAAAACCCCTCAGGTCACATCTTAACACATCAAAATATTTCCACACACCAAAAAAATAAGAATCAAGATTTTTGAAGAATTTTTAATGAGACACAAAAAATCGTAAATGATTAAGATGGAGAATTTCAACCCAACTCTCAACGGTAATTATAAGACAATTAAAGTCATTTAATTACTGGCAATTTGAATATGGATATGACTGCAGTTAATTAGCATATAGACTTTAATTAAGATAAGGTATTTATTTAATTTTTTTTGGGGGGGTGGGTGGGTGGGTGGGGGGGGGAGACCTTAGGATGAGGGTCAATTTATCATACATTTTCCTTTATAATGGACAGGTTGTCAGTGATACAGTCAACTGAGTGAAACTGTGTCCCCCGCGCCTACGACCCGCTTATGTCACTAATTCCCTCTGCACCCCCAGTTGGTTTACAGCACGCCTCTAACGCAGCCCCTATATTTTGTGGGGTAATTTTTTATCATTTACATAAACATTTTTCTTTCTTTCTTTCTTTCTTTCTTTTTTTTTCTTTCTTTCTTTCTTTTTTCTTTCTTTCTTTATTTTTTCTTTCTTTCTTTCTTTTTTTCTTTCTTTTCTTTCTTTCTTTCTTTCTTTCTTTACCTATTTTTCGGGTCACATATTACTCACACTGGAGCCCATTAGATTTTAGGCCTATTATAACTGGGATCTATTAAAACTGGCACCTATTAAAATTGGTACCTATTAGAACTAATGCCTATTATAAGTGGGACCTATTAAAATTGGCACCTATTTTAACTGGAACTTACTAAAATTGGTACCTATTAGAACTAGGACCTACTAGAACTAGGACCTATTATAACTGAGAAGTATTATAACTGGGACCTATTAAAACTGAGACCAATTAAAACTGGGACCTGCTCGCATACTGTAAGGTCCTATTAAGAATGTATTCGACTGAGGCAACACAAAGGAGAACGAGATGGTTGGTGTTAAAACTAATATTAATTACTGTTAAAAGTGGGTCATTAGCGCCGAGGTTCTGCTGCAGGTGTAGTGTTTCAGTGTCTTTGTGTTGAGCATTATGGAAAACTCGGGTCTTTGGGGATGATGGTTTAACCCTTTGGGGGACGATGGTTTAACCCTTTGGGGACGATGGTTTAACCCTTTGTGGAGGATGGTTTAACCCTTTGGGGACGATGGTTTAACCCTTTGTGGAGGATGGTTTAACCCTTTGGGGACGATGGTTTAACCCTTTGTGGAGGATGGTTTAACCCTTTGGGGACGATGGTTTAACCCTTTGTGGAGGATGGTTTAACCCTTTGGGGACGATGGTTTAACCCTTTGTGGAGGATGGTTTAACCCTTTGGGGACGATGGTTTAACCCTTTGTGAAGGATGGTTTAACCCTTTGGGGACGATGGTTTAACCCTTTTGGGAAGATGGTTTAACCCTTTGGGGAGGATGGTTTAACCCTTTGAGGACATGATAAGGTGTCGTGAGAGAATGATCTGGCTGAGAGAGAGAGAGAGAGAGAGAGAGAGAGAGAGAGAGGGACACTCATTAAGTAACTTTAGCTAAGTCTTACCGTAAACAGAACACAAGAGCCAACACAGACGTCTTCAAGCCCCGTGTTGTGGAATAATGGGTTGAGCCGTGTGACCAAACTTAAATGACCAGATATAAATGGCCAACTTTTTCCACTTAGGAGGGTCCGTTTTTTATGAAGGTACGTATTTCATTAGGGTACCTATTTCATGAAGGTACGTATTTTTTGAGGGTACGTATTTCACGAGGGTGCGTATTTCACGAAGGTACGTATTTTTTGAGGGTACGTATTTCATTAGGGTACCTATTTCATGAAGGTACGTATTTCACGAGGGTACGTATTTTTGGAGGGTACGTATATTTGAGGGGTACAAATTTCACAACAAAGGAACGTATTTCACGAGGGTACAGGTTTTACGAAGGGTAAAAATTTCACAGGGGTACTTATTTCACGCTGCAGGACGATTGACCACCCCAATTCGTCAATAACAAAACCGTAAAATTCGTGAAGAGGAGACGAGAATCGCGATAAGAGACTGAAGAACCGTATATGGTGGAATAAAACTCACCAGGACTGACGATTCTATTGACGTTTAGGCACCGTTAACCTCACCTTACTTCACCTCACCTCACTTCACCTCACCTCACCTCACCTTACTTCACCTTACCTCACCTCACCTCACCTCACTTTACTTCACCTCACCTAACCTAACCAAACCAAACCTTACCTTCACGAGATCCCGAATAATTCAACTTGGAGAGTCAAAAAATAATAGAATGTTATTGGTCACAGGAAAAGTTAAATAAATGGAATAACTGGAAGATAGGACGAGGAATAAAGGTAGGTAAGAGAGAGAGAGAGAGAGAAAGAGAGAGAGAGAGAGAGCACCACTATATATAAATATTAGAAAATAAATGTCAGGGCTGAGAGTGAGGGGGGGGGATAATGAGAAGGAGAAGGAGGAGAAGAAGAAGAGAGAAAGAAGAGGAGAAGAG